GCTATGGTGAGGGCTTTGAGCAAAACGAGTCGGGCTGTCATGTTGGAAGGAGGTTCGTCGTATGAGTTTTTGGGCCGTTTTATCGACGATGTTTTGGAAAATGGTGCTTGAATGTATGCTGGTTTTGATGGATTTTGGATTTGTCAGTGTGTTCTTGCATTTGAAGCATTGGCCTTGCATTCCTGTTCTGTAGTTTGTATTTGATCTGTTTCATTCAGTTTTACGTGGCCGGTATTGATCAATTATTATGGCGCTGGAAGCAGTCAAAAGTGGTCCTGTGGGTCTGAGTTAATGATCTCTTGTTCAATCCGGAAAAAAAGAAAAAAGAAAAACAAAAGACAAAGAAATGCAAGTTTAGTTAGCTAAATATTGTTATTTCATATTTGCATCGAATAAATATTTTGATTTGCAATTTAATATGATGATTTTTTTTTTTAATTTTTTTTTTCTACACCCATTTTGATTTTGATGTGCTGCTGCACACTGGACCGGCTCTCCTTGAACCCAACCGTTTGAGCCCTCCCAAAACCTGTAAAGACGACGGGAAGTGTTTTCGGCGGTAAACCTCCGATGCTCAAGTTAGTAGGGTATCGAGGAAAGCTCAGTTCGTATATTAGGGTTTTTGTGAGGTAAAAAGTTAGACCTTACCGTCATACCTGCTCTACGTATTTATATGCAAGTCTTTAGCTTTCTCCACACGGTTGCTCCTTCATCTGTGACAATCTGTTGATGTGATAACTACCAAACCCATTTAAGTGCCAGCCCACTTCTTCAACCTACTTGACCCATTCTTCTGGCCGATTTGTTACTGGGTCGAGCCCGTACATTGACAGACTATTACATCTGGCCGATCCACAACCATGCAAACACATTTTCGGCTCATAAACCGAGCTGACTTCTGCTGGTTTACCCAAAGTGCTCTTCTGTGCTATATCAAATTTGGCTCGGAGTACAATGGAAAAGTAGCCGTGGGCACGCCATGCTGTTAAATTAAACGAGCCTGGCTCAGCTCGGCTCAAGCTCGACTCGTTAAGGCTCGAGTTCGGCTCGTTAAAGCTCAAGTTCGAGGCCTTAGCGAGCCGAGCTCGAGCTCATTAAAAGCTCGTTTGGCTAACGAGCCGAGCTGCGATAATTCTCGTTAAGACTCGAAAATAGAATTTTTATATAACTTTTATAAATCGGCTCGTTAAAGGCTCGAGCTCGACTCGTTAAGGCTCGAGCTCGGCTCGTTAAGGCTCGAGCTCGAGGCCATAATGAGTTGAGTTCGAGCTCGATTTTAGTAACGAGCCAAGTTTGGCTCGGTTTGTGAAGGGCTCGAGCTCGAGCTCGAACACTCTAAACTCAAGCTCGGCTCGGCTCATTTACAGCCCTAGGCACGCCCAAAATCCTTGTAATTGGTTGGGGCGCCTTTTCTGAGGCATTCTCAGTCACTGTAGAAACTGGGCCGTGATGTCCGCAAGGCCCAAGTACAGGGAGACCGCCTGCACATCAAATCATCAAAATTCATCTAAAATTCTAATGGAAAACTCATTCCAACAGAATATTTTTATTGCAATTTCTGTTGGAATCACTCCAAATGAAGCTATGCAATTAAATTTTCGTTGAAATTTCTATTGGAATATATTACCGTAGGATTTCCCATTGGAATATACATTTTTTTTTGTAGTGAACATATCAAGTCTGTAAAAATATAATATTTATTTAAATATTTTAATTTTTATTTTCTAATTTATTTTTGTAAGTATGAATTTTGTTAGTTATTAATTTGTAAAATATTATAAAAGTGTAAGATTTAATATTATGATTGTATACAATTTACTTCCATGTACTTATATAATTACCAATTATATTAATCTTATAAACTTTTTAGCCATTCATATTTTGCATATTGTTCGATAAATTGACCAACATTTATTTTAAAAATTTAATTTTTCTTTATAATAACTCATATTGACTTTTTTTTAGTAACTTTTTATAGTAAATATTTTATTATGAAATGTAATGTTTTGTTGTCTATATTTATTTAATTAATTCATTTTTTTTTTTTTTTTTTTGCAAGGCTAACTCAACACTTTAATTAAACAAATATTTGGTGAAGTTCATAAATAATTGACACTTGCATCACTAGTTTGTAAACCATCTCCCAAGGCCCATTACCTTTATCTTATCCTTTCCCTTTCCATTTCCATATTCAAACACAGCATCAACAAAAACAATTCTAACAGAAACAACTCATCATCAGATCAAAAAAGAAAAAAAAAATTAAAAACATGGAAAATTTCGAGTTGGTGTTCATCCCCTCTCCCGGGCTGAGCCACCTCGTCTCCACAGTCGAGGCCGCCAAGCTCCTCCTCAACCGGGACCCACGCCTCTCTGTCACCATCCTCATCATGAAGCTCCCGACCGACCAAACCGTCGACAAATACACCCGAACCACCCTCATCACCGCACCCCGCCTCACCATAACCCACCTCCCGAACCACGACTTCGCGCCCACCCCCGACCGCATACCCATGATTGACTTTATCAACACCCGCGGGCCCCACGTCAAGGAAGCCGTCTCGGGCCTCATATCCCAGCGGGTCGGGCAAACGGGCTCCCGTGTCGCGGGCCTCATCCTCGACATGTTCTGCACCGTCTTCACCGATATCGGAGACGAGCTCGGCCTCCCGTCTTACGTCTTCTTCACATCGGGCGCGTCTGCACTCGGCCTCTTCAACTACCTCGTCTCCCTTAAATTTGAGAAAGGCGAAGACCTCACCAGGTACAAGGACTCGATCCTCGACCTGCCTGTCCCCTGCTTTGCGAGCCCTGTTCCGGCTAAAGTGCTGCCCGCCAATATCGTCTCCGGCGGCCCGGTTTCCTCAACTGCCCTCAGCTACTTCAAGAGAGTTGCGGACACGAAGGGGGTCATGGTCAACACGTTTGAAGGGCTCGAGCCCTTCGCTCTCGAGTCCCTAAAAAACGACGGGAAGATGCCCAGGGTGTACCCGGTGGGCCCGGTGCTGAACGTGGAGAATCAAACCCTAGAGGGCGAGTTGAAGGAGTGGCTCGACGGGCAGCCGGACGGGTCGGTGGTGTTCCTCTGCTTCGGGACGAGGGGGAGCTTCGACCGGGCCCAGGTGGCGGAGATTGCGGCGGGCTTGGAACGTAGTGGGACCAGATTCCTTTGGTCGCTGAGGAAGCCCGGCGGGGTTTTCGTGCCCCCGACCGAGTACGAGGATTTCGGTGTGGTCCTTCCGGAAGGGTTCTTGTAACGGACTTTGGGTGTGGGGAGGGTGATCGGGTGGGCCTCACAGGTGGCGGTGCTGGCCCACGTGGCGGTTGGAGGTTTTGTGTCGCACTGTGGTTGGAACTCGACGCTCGAGAGCGTGTGGGCCGGAGTTCCCATGGCCACGTTCCCATTGTACGCGGAGCAGCAGATGAACGCGTTTTTGCTGGTGAGGGAGCTCGGGATTGCGGAGCCGATTAGAATAGATTATAGGAAGGATTTTTTTTCCGAGGAGGGCACGTCGCCGGAGAATATTGTGGGGGCGGAGGAGATAGAGGCGGTGGTAAGGCGACTGATGGCAGCCGATGGTGGTGGGATTAGGGAGAAGGTGAGAGAAATGCAAGAGAAAAGCAGGGCAACTGTGGAGAAAGGCGGGTCATCTTATAATGCTATAACCAGCTATATTGAGGATGTTATTAGGAATATTAGTTAGGAGTTTTAGTGTTTAGTGTTTGTGTGTGGCTTTAAAGATGTACGGGTTTTGGGGTTTGAGAGAGGGGGCTGATGGGCCTGGATAATGCGGGCCGGGGTGCTAAGGTGATGGCTTTGAGCGACACGAGTCAGGCTGTTATGTCGGATGGTGGTTTGTCGTATGAGTTTTTGGGCCGGTTTATTGACGATGTTTCAGAAAATGTTGCTTGAATGAATGTTGGTTTTGCTAGATTTTGGATTTTGATTTGTCATCCTGTTTTTGCATTGCGTTCACATGTTTCTGCAGTTTGTATTTGCTTAGTTTCATTCAGTTTTATGTAGATGGTTTTGATCAATTTTGGCACTGAAAGCAGTCAAAAGTGGTCCTGTCCTGTGGGTCTGAAACTCGGAGTTAATGGTTTCTTGTTCAATCGACAAACAATAAAATTTGAATTAATGCATTTGTAGTTACCTAAATTTTGTTATTTCTTATTGTTGTCCAATAAGTATGTGGATAATTTTTTTTCCAATATGTATGATACGTGATTTTTGTTTGGTAGCAACATTATTTTTCGTAGTAAACCTTGAAATATGCATTATAAGGAGTACTAACTAACAATGAAATTATCCCTTTTCTATACTTGATGCACAATTAACCTTAACATCCTCGATAAACCTCCCGACCGCCTCATACGACAACCCGCCCTTTGCCACCGCAGCCCGACCCTCGACTCTCAACTCCTCCATCCTAACCCCTACACCACCACCGCCGGCCTCCATCAGCCGCCCGATCCCTTTCTCTATCTCGTCAACCGACACCACCATATTAGCACCCTTCTTATACATCATGTTTATCTCCACCGCTGCCCCCAACTCCCTCACAAGTTGGAACGCGTTCGACGACTGTTCCGTGTACATCAACCACGCTGCCATCGGCACGCCTTCCCCCACGCTCCCGAGCATCGAGTTCCACCTGCAGTGCGACACGAACCCATCCACCGCCCGGTGGCCCAACACCTCTGCCTGCGGCGCCCACCCAATCACCCTCCCGAACCCTTCCGTCCGCCCGACGAACCCTTCTGGAAGAACCTCCCCGAAATCCTCGTACTCGCCGGGATCCACCTCGGGCGGTGGCTTCCTCAGCGACCAAAGGAATTGCCGCCCACCGTCATAGAGGGCCCGCGCGATCTCCCGCACGCTGCACCTGCGCCCCGTCGAAGCATCCCTTGCTCCCGAAACAGAGGAAAACTACAGAGGAGTCCGGCTGCTGGTCGAGCCACTTCACGATCTCGTCTCGCTTCGCGTTCAAAACGCCGTCCGTGTGGAGCACGGGCCCCACCGGGTAGACCCGCGTGCGGGACCTTCACATCATCCCGAGAAATGTAATACATGGCTCGAGATTCTAATCCCCAGAACGTGTTGACGAGTACACCCTTGGCCAGCCTGAGCTGCCTCCCAAACTGGATGGGTTACTCGGCTCGTTTTGGTTCCTCCTTTTATTTATTTATTTATTTATTTATTTTTTGATTTGTTGAGAGAGCACCGGTGAACTTGCCATGTTTTTATAGTAGTGTCTTAGTGATGATGGCAACGGTTCGTTAACTTTTCTTTTTACACACATGAAACAGGCTAAGATCTAATTAGCTAGATATCTTTATTATTTGATATATTGGCTCGTTCGATGCAAGGAAAAAGAATATTACGATTGTGTTATAAAATAAATATACAAATAAATTAATCAAGATTTACCCATCGTTTTTAAAGTAGACCGTACTGGACACAGTCCGACCAGATGGACTGAGAACCAGTTTATAATCAATCTAGTTCACTTGAATAAAATATTTGCTATTGAATCCATCAACACCAGTCGGTTGAACTAGTACGATTGATACAATTTTCCAAATAAACTTTGCTATATTTAAATTTTTTTATATAAAATTATATATTTAAATAAAATAGAAATTTATAAATTATTTATCAATTAATTTAAACATTTGAATTTTTAAATTATTTAGACATTTAAGTAACACATTTTATCCGAATTTATTACAAAATGTACTATACATATATGTATATTCAAGCGTTTTTTTTTTTTTTTAAAATAAATAAATTGTATGATTCAATTGTATGATTATATTAAGTATATTTATAAATTAAATTGTATGTTTTTTAAAGAAAAAATAAAAAAAAATAATAAAACAACTATATATGAGCTGCATTAAATGCTGACCTATCTTTTTCCTACTAATTTTAGTAAATAGAATAGTTGTTTATATAAGTATAGATTTTCGTGTGGCATTTAAAATGTTGCATCAAAGTTTACTTGTTGGAGGGCCCATGAATGGGAAGTGCAGCCCTTGTTTACTTGTCAGAGCATCCACAATGTTTTGGATCTTTTTTGTATATGTGGCAAGGGTAAATTGCACCAAACTCCCTTGTGTTTAACGAAATGTGCGCATTTCCCCACCGTGTTTTAAAAACTGCACCATACCCCCTTGTGTTTAAGTAACCGATGCACACGTTCCCTTTTTTCAATCTCCAGTTAACGGTGTTAACTTTTTTACAAAAACCCCGTTATACCCTTCGAATATTATATATATATTTATAGTAAATTGAATTTCTCACGATATATTGAATATATCGCAGGAAATTAAATCTAAAAAAAATGCTGTCTCATGGGATCGAACCTGTGACCTCTAAAGAGCATGGCAAGCAACCAACCACTACACCACACAAGCTTTAGTGCTAGATGTGGTAAAGTTAAATATACTTGGACATTACAAATGAAAAATGAAATTTAATTTAAAAGATAATGTAAATTATATTAAATTAAATTATTAAAATATAAACATATAAGAAACAAAAATATAAAAATAATTTATTATATTAAAAAAATAATTAAAATAAATTATAAATAAATTTAAAAATTAAATTTAAAATAATTATATTCGTTGTATTATATTTAGAATATTTTTATATTCTATTATTTATATTATTTCATTGCATTGTTCATTTTATATTATCTTAGTTAACAAACTTATTTATTTTGTTTTAAGAGAATGAAAAAAAAAATATAAATTTTACTAATAAAATTAGAAATTAAAATTATTTATTAAAAACTAAAATCATTTACTAAAAATTTATAATTTATTTCAGTTTTTCTCAATGATATTATATGTAAGAGTTAATCATATTACACGTATTTGATAAATTATGTTTTTTTTTTATTTTATTATATGAATTTAATATTTTTATTTACTTTAATTTATTATATAATAATAAGTTATTTTATTTATTATTTATTATATTTTACAATTTTTATACTTTATTATCTTATACTATTATTATTTTTATTTTATTTATTTTTATTTAATTTTATTATCATTTTTTTTTTTTGAAAATTCATATAATTAAATTAGTAATTAAAAATTATAAGTTTATTTAATCTTAATTCATGCTACTATATTAAATTTTACCTTACTTTATTTTAATTTAACGGTTTCATTATTTTTATGTTAATAAGATTTATTTCAAGTTGTTATTACTATTAATAATTATTTAATTTATTTTTATTACCTATTAGATTTTTATTTATTTTATTACTTTATTTTATTTTATTTTATTTTTATTCATTTTATTCATTTTATTGATTTTCGTATATATTATATATATGTGTTCAATAATTTACACAACATTCTTGTAGCCCAGGTGGTTGTGTGCATGCTCTTCCTTTCCAACTTGGGTTCGAGTCCCACCACCTACACTCTATTTATTTTGGCTTTTGCAATAAAATTCTGGAGGGTATAATGGTAAATTACTAATTGTGAAAAAAAAAACTGAACAAATCTCGCATATGGAGAATGTGTCATACACGCGCGGTTAACTTGGACGGAATGGGGGAATCGTGCATCGGTTACTTAAACACAAGGGGGTCTGGTGCAGTTTTTAAAACACAGTGGGGAAACGCGCACATTTCGTTAAACACAGGGGGGTTTGGTGCAATTTACCCTATGTGGCAAATAAATAGATTTAAGTACATAATGACATGGACAAACCCAAGCTAAAAATTCCAAAATCTATCCAATGCAGAACAAAAAAGTACTAGGTCTAACAATCACTAGTTAAAACAGAGACTAAAAAAATGATGTCTGATGATTATCCCCTCGCGACCTTCAACCCTGTCACGTCAACCTTCGATCCTGGAGATGATCCGCCAACCCACCCCATCGGTTCATACTTTCCACCTTTATCGGCTGCGTCTCACCCAACATCTAAACACTCGCGAAAGAGATCGGTTGAATTCCTGGAACAGCAAGGGCCTCACATCCCAGCGATACCAACCCCACCACCGGTGAACATTCCAGCGTCCGCTAGCAAGCCCCCCTCCGGTGGACCTTTCGGGACATGGTGAACAAACATAGATCTCACGTGAGTTTGGAACCAGAGGGCGATGAGGCCACAGACGACGATGAGGATGAGGTGTCGGTTGACTTCTCCCCCCCGATTCCAGCAGTTAAAATTACCCAACGGTTCATCGACCACATTAGTAGTGATTGGAAGAACGCGGTCGTCGTTAAACCTTTTGACGAATCTATCACCATGGCCTCGCTATATAATCGATTGACCAAACTGTGGCCCTTCATGGCAGGGTGTAACATGATGGACCTAGAGAATGGGTACTACCTCATCCAATTCAGCATTAATGAGGACGCGGTGAAGGTTCTCACGGAAGGACCGTATGTCATTGGGAACGGCTATATGCATGTACAACCATGGACTATCGATTTCGACGCATCACAGGCAGAGGTGAATTCCACAGTCGCTTGGATCCGACTGCCGGGAATGCCCGCTCATTTGTACCACAAGAAGATATTTCGTACCATTGGACGGATAGTAGGGAAGGTTGTCAAGATTGATCAGCAAACGGCAGCCCGAACCCGTGGGAAGTTTGCGCGGCTGGCGGTAGTAGTTGACATTACCAAGCCACTTTGTGTCCAATTCTCCATTAATGGTAAGCACCAGCGGGTGGTCTACGAGAATATGCCTATAATCTGCTTCCAATGTGGCCGGTTAGGGCACTCCAGTTCCTCTTGTCACCATCAACCGACATCCCAAGGAAAACAAAGTACCGCCGGAAATCAACATGATGACCGATCAAAGACTGTAAACGGGGACGACACAAACTCCGTCGTAAATAATACCCCCGTCGACGATGTGCCCAACCCGCCGTACGGTCCTTGGATCCAGGTCCCACAAAAATCTCGACAGCAGTATTCACGGCGTGATAGGGGGACAAATCAAATCGCCAAAAATCCGCGCTCCATACCCAGCTTTGGCTCGAGATTTGATGTACTGGATAAGGAAGATCACCAAGATTCGCTTCCTAATTTCGAATTCAGCACCAAATCAACGGTGATACCTAATGGAAAGGGCGACTTGCCTAAAAAACCTACTGAGGCCTCGGGGGAAAAGGAATGGAGGACCATTACGTCTAAACATAAGGGTAAAGCTCATGCTAATGGGCCTGGAGCGAGAAATGGGCCGATTCAAAACGCTACTGGACCTGTGGCTCAAAGCAGACCTACAAAGGGACCAAAAATTTCAGAAGTGTTGACCCATAAGCATCAGAACCAAAACTCAGACCCTCTAATGATCGCTAAGAACGGAGCTGGGCCCTCGACCACCGAACCATCAACGAACATCACAGGACAAGTCCGGGTAGGGACGGGTTTGGACCCATCTAAGCACACAGCCATTATAATTGAAGACGAGCCCAATGATCCAACTCCCAACCAGGACAACTTTCATGAACCCGTAATTGACATTGCAGGGGATGCGGTGATGGCGAACGGGGAGCATGAGGTACAGCTCCAGGACCCTTGGCCGGAGGAGCACCAAATGCAGGAGCCTGCACCGGCTGAGGTGGCCCAACCTATGCAAAGCGAGTATGAGATCGGGTCAGGTGACCAGGTGCACGTTTAACCGACAGCCGAGCACTGTCAATCTTCTCCTAGTTTACCATGATTATTATTTTCTGGAACGTTCAAGGAGCTGGCTCGCCTGCTTTTCGGGGAGCCTTCTCCACATTAATACGACAACACAATCCAGATATTGTAGCTATTTATGAACCACGAATTAGTGGGGAGGCAGCTGATTGTTTTGTACGTTATAGTAAGTTCGAGAACTCTTTTCGCGTTGAAGCTCGGGGTTTCTCCGGCGGCATTTGGCTGTTATGGAGAGAGGGGGTGGTTGTCGAAATCCTGGAATTCACTCGACAAGTGGTACACGTTAGAGCTGGCAAGGATGGTGATGTTTGCGCCATTTCATTTGTTTATGCGAGCCCACATCCTGTATACCGTCGAAGACTGTGGCCCGTGCTGGAGAACCTTGC